CTAGAAGGTCCCAACGTCCCCTGCTTGGTGAAAGAACTAATACTAAGCCTTTTCCATATGGAAATGTAATTTCCATATTCCTCTGATTCCCTAATACTCAGATTTGTCAGGATGATATTTCATGAATTATTTACAACTTTTAAGCTTATATTACATGGAAAAAACTCAGCAAGCAGGACAGTCCATTTGATCATGCCTTGAAACTGCTGCCTGAATGTGGGGTTTGGTTTTTTTTTTCTGACAGCTCTTATGATAACGAATGGGAATTACATTCGCAATGAACAGTCCACCCTAGGAAATCTGATGCCAGCCAAGTTTGGCTTTGAAATCCTTACAGTGGCCACAGGTAGGCAGCCACCCTGTCTACGAGAAGGATTTGATGTGTCCTAGTGATGGACAGTGCCTGGTTCAGCAAACGGGGTTGTCCAGAACGGCAAGCTGAAGGAAAGCCTTTAACAGGGCAGCAAAGATGTAAAAGGCCAAAAGAGGACAAGCCTGAAGAAAATGAACTATTTGAAGAAACTTCCTTGGATTTGGGCTGGAGGATCTGAAGGTGGCAAGTGTGGCAGTGTGCAGGGTGCCGGTGTGCCTGGCCCTGCAACTGCTGATGGCTCTTGGGAGACTGCTTCCATGCACAGCTCTGCTGGTGCCGAGGCAGAAACTAGCTGGGCATGGCCTGCATATTTCTTGCTCTCCTTTAGATGAGAAATGCAGCACATTTGTGGAGGAGGAGTAGTTATTACAGGGAGCTAGGAAATGACGTTGCTTTTTATTAAAAACGGACATTTTCTAGGGATGCTTAACTGCCCTTCACCAACGTCATGCAGCCCTTGGATGAAGCTGGTCCCTGCTGTATTTTTAGTCTGGAAGGGGCAGATAGTTTGCTGTGCTTCAGTGTCACATAAAGGTAGTGTCTTCTAACGGGCCTTTGTGGGAGCCACAGGTGCCTTTTTCTTTCTAGCTCTTCCCTCTGTTTTCGGCTGTCATAAACCTTAGTTACATCAAGAACCCCTTCAGCGCAGGGCACAGGCGAGCATCCTTGTGCTGATTTAGGAAGTGCAGTATTGCATTTATTGCAGCCTCCTTGCCCAGGGTGGGACTGCTGAGCCCCGCTCCCCTGTCAGCTTACCTCCAACTTTTTGCAGCTGATACTGGGCCAGGCTGTTACCCAAGCGTATTGTATCGTGAGGGTTGTTTATAATGTCGGCATGTGAACCATCACGAGAGATTGAGCATGGGCAGCAAGTGGTTCAGGGGAAGCATGAATACATGATGGTGTTGCATTGTCATAACTCCATCCCCAAAAGTCATTGAGAAAACCTCCTCCTGGCAGGTGGACTCAGAAACATACAGGACTGTTCTGTTAGCCAAAGCTTTTGTATTTTGTCTTAAAAATGGAGCATCCAGGGCTTTTCTGTCCCCTGCCAGGGCAGGTGAGTGTTCGTGTCTGTGGTGGGGGGTGTAGGAGGCAGCTTTGCTGGCAGGGATGTCATGATCGCCAGCACAGAGCTTGCCAGCACAACAGAATATGAGTAAGAGCCATAAGCTAGGGCTGGGGAAGGGGATGGGTTAGTAAGCCAGCATTACCCATATGGCCATTTTCCAGAATCCCAGATGGCTGCCTGGAACATGTGACGTGTGACAAGCTGTAATTCCAACAAAATGCCTCCAGCACCTATCAATAATCTATCTCCCCGATCCCTGAATTTCCTAGCAATGAGATTAGTCCCAGCAATACGTGGTTGGTGCAGCCATGCCAGCCCAGCTGGCCCTGCTCTGGGGCCCCGCAGGTGCCCAGCTGCTTTTCACCAACCTTCGTGGCCTCTCCCAGTCTCACTCCACCTCTCCCCAAGCCAACAGCCCCAGTGTCCTCCAGCCTGCTGGCTCTTCAGCTCCATACCTGCTTCTCTCAGACTCACATCTCCCTGCTGCAATCAAAATCTTTAAGTAATTTATGTTTGCAATGAGCCATTAAGGTGTGCCCTGTAATGCTATAAAATAAACAACTCTGGATATTTTTTTTTTTACAAGTTTGAGCTTAATAGCTAGAAATGCTTCACAGCCTTAAAGAATATATAGCAGGACAGGAGCGTTGCACTGAGAATCTGTCTGCTGGAGGTGGAATGCTTTTCAAGTCTATAATGGGCTTCTGGAGTCATTTGCCATCATCCTGGAGGCAAAAGTGAAGCAGTAAATCTGCTGTGACTCAGAGTGTGCACCTGGTAGAGAAACCCTCAGAAACATCACTGTAAGGCACCAGATTTATTCTGGAGACAGCAGGTGAGGCACATTGGGGGAATCCTAAAATTTCCCAGAAACAAAGGAACCCAAACAAGGATCCGAAACAACCCATGGATGCAACACATAAGCACTGTTTTCTCTGCCAGGAAGAAAACCAGAGATTCTGGTAGTTTATCTAGTTGCAATTTAAGATTTCTGTATTTCTGCCATCATGGACGCAAGCTTTATTCTGCTATTTAATATAGCTACCCTTCACAAACCTGAAGTGACACCTGAAGAAAACTGCTAGTAGATCTGTCAGCTGGGAGCTTTGCGTCCCAGTACCCGACATCCCACCCGATGCTCACGCTTCCTGGATGCCCGTCATGAGGAATGGGCTTCTACCATGTGAGAGTTGGTGCTAAGGAACCCAAGAAAGAAACCTCTCCTTCTGGGACAAAGCTTGCTGCAATGAACTCGCACAATCTGGGTGGCCTAGGAGTCCTTTGCAGTTATAAGTATAGCATGGTTTCAGCTCTATTTCTGCCATTTTCTTGGGAAAAGTCATGTGGTAAATAATTAGCTTCATATTTTTCCCTGTGTGTCTTATACTTTATTGTCTCCTACTGAAATATATGGACCATCAGGTGCACCTAGAAACTGGGAATGAAAGCATCATTGGAAAGACATTACAATAGGTCTTTTACCACTTAAATTCATGGTTTGCTTTTTGCTTTGGATTTTTTTTCCATGATCTTCCAGAAGTTACAAAGTCAGAGTTACCTGGAGTTTAATTGCCACCCTGTGTCTTGCTATCTGAAATCATTAAGTAGCAGACAGAGGAAGGGTAAACCCCTTTGGATATCTATTGCTTGTGCTGGAAGAGGGGTTTCTCTGGAAATCTGTGCCTGGGAGCCCCCAAAAGATGTTGGTCTCTGCTGGGCTGAGGGCTCTGCACATTGGCCTGGCAGCAGGAGCAGACAGCTCGGGCTTTGCAATGCTCAGGGCGTTTGCACAGAAATGACGTGGAGATCTTCTCCATCATGACATTTTGGACATTGTATTTTGTAATTATCTGGTTATGGACTGTACAGACATGTTTTCAAGGAGGTGATTAGCTGTCTTGACAGTCCCGAAGCACCGATCTGGACTTGCACGGGATGGTAAAGCTGTTGGGACAGGTTTTGCTGGGAAACAGTTTCGGGCTTCTGAAGGTGTGGTTCAAACCCCAATTAAGAGGATAAAAACCTGTGTGTGTGTGACTCAGGATGCAGCTGGTGGTGGGAAGGTCAGAGCTGGGATCTTTCATTTTGCCAAAGAGATGGTGGGTGGCGGGTGGGATGGGGAGCACGGGTGGGTGCCAGGGGTGTTGCACAGAGGCTTTGTGCAAGCAGGGCAGCACCAAGATGGGGGTAGCAAGCTAGTTAATAAAAGTGACTTGCAGGGGAGCCAAAGTTATTCATAAACTCACACCAATTTTGTGAATAGCTATGGCTTTTTAAACTTCCAAGGAGAGAGGGGATGACAACTCGAAAAATGTTGATGCATTCAATTAAAACCTCTTTAAATCAATATTTTATTTAAGGAACATGAGCATATTATGCTGCGAGGTCTGGTCAAAAACAGGCTTTCAGCCCTCCCTGAGGTGTCCGTGTGTCCATCGCACAGGAGCACGGCTCCCTCTCTCGACTGCAAAGCTCACCAGCACCGAGATGAATGGTTTATTAAGCTCGCTGTGAGACAGGTTCATTTTTGCAGAGTAAAGGTCCTTTAAAGCAGGAAGGGATGCATCCCTGCCTTTGGGGATGGGCTAGATTACGACATCCCAAATCCGTAATTATTTTAGCTTCTCTGTTGAACTGCATGGCCCAGTGGGACCTTCCCTATCTCCAACCACCTTCTCCAAGTTTCATTTAAAGAAAATCTCTGTTTTATAGAGCGAGGGCTGCTGCCTAAGGCGGGGGCGGTGGACAGGGTTGTCTGCCGGCAGCACCTCGGTGCAACGAGTTTCTGACCTTGGCTGCAGTGTGCCACAGTGCTCAGCCGGGCAACTGCACTCCCTGCTGCCATCCCGTGTTCCGGGGCTCTGCAGGGACATCAGTGGTACGGGTACTATGCAAACATGCTTTGTGCCTGAAGCGCTGATACACCCGTGTGTCAATCTGTGATGCTCTGGCCTTTTAGCCCCATGAGATGGTTTCAAAGTCTTCATTGTCCACCTTCCTCAACTGTGGATAGCTTAGATTATCCTAAAAAAGAAAGTATTTCTGCCTGTACAAGGGCTTCAGAAGCCCTGTTTTTGTTGCCCAAGCAGCTTTAATGCACCAGCTTGACTACAGGTAGCTTGGATGGGAGTATGTCCTTTGAAAACAGGATTGGTTTCTTATGCTGCGAACTGTGTGGTCAGCTCCATCCCCAGACGCCGCATTCAGTTAGGATGCTGTATCTGTGTCGGACTTTGAGAAACCCACAAAACAGGTATAGGGATAGAAAGATGGGCACTGCAAGCAGATGGAGACAC